ACGAGGATCCTCCACAGCTCCCTTCTCCCCCTCCTATCGCTCCTTCCTCCTCCTTCGCCAGCTCTCCCCCTCCTCCACCCACCTCTCCTCTCCACCTTCCTCACCACCTTCTCGCCTTCTCCCCCTCCTCCACCACCTTCTCTCCCCTTCTCCCCCTCCTCCTTCCCACCAGCTTCCCCGCTTCCTCCCACCACCTCTCACTTCTCCCTCTCCTTCTCCACCGAGCTTACTCCCCCTCTCCTCCACCAGCTCTCCCTCCTTCCACCACCGCTCTTCTCCCCCTCACTCCAGCCCCTCCACCACTCTCACCCCTCCCATTCTCCAACACCTTCTCCCTCTCCCCTCCTCCTATCTCCCACCAGCCTTCTCCCCTCTTTCTCCACCCACCTTCTTTCCTCTCACCAGCTCTCCCTTCCTCCTCTGCCACCACCTTCTCCCTTCTCACCTTCCTCCTTCGCCACCAGAGCTTCTCCCTTCTGCCCCTTCCTCATTCCTAGCCATATTTGAGTCGGCCATACGGCCCCGGCGAAATAGCATATTGAATCTTATTCCAGCACGTCGCCGTGCGTATAGCCCATATGAGTTCGCGCCACACGGCCGCCGTCTGCGTATATGCCATATTGAATCTTATCCACACGGCCGCCGTGCGTATAGGCCAGTGTTACATGCCACACCAGCGCCATGCTATTGGATCATTTTGGATATCCCCCAAACATGTTTATCTTCTTTCTAGTTTTAAGTAAGTCCCATGTTTCACTGTTATATTTAGGACAGAAAGGTAATAACTGTGTATTTGCATAGATTTCACTCTTGCTTCTATATTATGATTTCCGACAATTTTGCTTTTTGGCCCATAATAATTTATTCATGGAAGTTAGTGAGACTCGGGGAGAGTGGACGTGTTTTATTCGGCTCCATGCCCTTCAGTCCAATTCGTCCATTAACTCATAGCTGAGTGGGAAATTAGTTCTTAAATTATTTAGACTAATATATGTAACTACTTAGCTCTCTAAGCTATAGGTAAAATAATTGCCATTATGACCAAATCTATTACTTCATATAATATTTAGTAATACTGGAAATCAGCA